GAGCTTGGAAAAACATGAATAAAGCCAATCCATTCCCATAATTACATCAAAATCGACCATCCCCAATTCAATGAGATAGGCCATGGTGTCCCGACCACGCAACGTGACAACACAACCCCTATAAACCCGTGCAGCCATAATAGACTCGCCAACCGGAGTAGATACAGAGAACGGCTCAGGAAGCTGTTCCGGTTCTATCCCAAATTCCATAGCAATATAAGGGGTAACATAGGACAAAGTGGAACCGGAATCAATAAGAGCATATACATCATGAGATTGGACAGTCAATATACCTGTGACAACATCTGGAGAAGCCTCTGCACTCTGGCGACCACTCATAGCATAGAAACGGGTGGGTCCTCCTGAACTCTACGCACCACCCCTAGCTGCACCATGCCCTGTTGATGCTGGAGTACCTCAAGCTGGAGGGGTGCTGAATATGTAGCAGCTGCAGAACTAGGTGGTTGTGTTGTGCCCCTGCCCGCACCCTGGCGGGATTAACGACACTCCCTCTGAATATGACCCCTCAATCCGCACCCGTAACATATGGGTAGGTCCATGTACCAGATCCCCGAGTGCATCTTCCCACGCCTGGGCATGCGGGCCTCCGCTGCTGTTGGAATCTCCCTCCTGATCGGCCCTACTGGTGGGGTCCCCTACTGCCCTGATTGGGCATGTAATGACTCCCTTACTACTGACTGGGCCCTGCTGGCGGTGCACTGGCTGAAGACTGAGCAAAAGACTGGGATGGCCCTGATGACCCTCGCCTAAAAGCTGATCTTCCCCCACCAAATGACTCCCCAAAGTTGCCCGTGGACCGAGCCTTGCTGGTACCCTCTCGCTCTATTTTGTTCTTCAACTTACGGTTCTCGGTAGCTTGAGCAAATTCTACCATCTTCCCATAGTTCATATTTGAATTCAAGGCAGCTGTAGCGGCCTCATTGATAACCAAGGGGCTAAGGCCCTGCACAAACCGGCGCACTCTAGCCTGCATAGTAGGCAACATGAGAATGGCATATTTAGACAGACGCGCAAACTCCATGTGATACTCCCACACACTCTTACTACCTTGTTTAAGGTTGTCAAACTCTGTGGCACGGGCTGGCCTAGTCTCGGCCGGCAAGAAATGGTCCATGAAAGCATCAGCAAACTCACTCCACCTCGCTGGAGGGCTCCCCTCCTCCTGAGAGTCCTCCCACGGCTCAAACCAAGAAAAGGCCACCCTTTTCAGGCAGTAGGCGGTAGGCGGCCAACTCCACTCCCCCCGTCTCAGTAACGCGCATAACCCGGAGAGTCTTATGCATCTCATCAATGAAGTCCTTTGGGTCCTCCTCGGGATTAGCACCCATGAACACCGGAGGATCCAACTGAAGAAACCTGTTCACCCTAGAACCAATAGAATCCCCTTGTAGGCTAGAAGAAGTGGGTGCAACATTTTATCTCTAGGCCTGAGAAGCCACTATCTGTGCCAGCATCTGGATGGCTCCCCTAAGATCCCCGTTAGAAATACTAGAACTGGAAGCTGGGGCTAGAGGTGGAACCGGAATATCAGTTGGAGGAACCTATGCACCCTTAGGAGGTGCAGGAACAGGTGTGTCCTAGTTCGGTGTAGTGGAATCCCGAAGTGTAGCAATCGAGGGATTATCCTCACCCCTCAGGTATTCACCTGCATCACCAAATAAAAGGTCAACTGCCACTCCTGAGGCGGCATTGGCTCCTTGGCCAGTTCTTGCTCTCTTCTTAGGTGCCATGTACTGAAATTTAAAGGAATGCACGAATTAGAGGAGGAACAGTTTCACAATCAGTTTCATCGCACGATCCAGAATATCAAAGAAGGGTATTATTCCTAAATGTCCAAGTAGCCTCCAACTTATAGATGTGGTCGACAACACACCGATAAGGAGGACTCTACTAGAAATGGCTCCGAGACATCCTAGGACACTTTAAAACCTTAGGCTCTGATACCAAGTTTGTCACGCCCCAACCTCGGGGAGCGCGACCGGCGCTTAAATGAGTGAACCCGGTCGAGCAAGCCTGTTAGATACTTTCTACCCAACTCACCCATGATCAAGAGAAGACATGATTTCATTAATTAGACAGTAGGAAGATCATATATACAATACTAAATCATCTCATTGGTTACATTATTTTTAAGTTTCAACATACACACATTCTTATGATTCGAGTGGAACAAGAGACCAAAACACAACATAATTTGTTTAACTTTTCTAGCATCCATGTACAACCCACATAGTGTCTACGGAGCCTCTAAAAGATACAAAGGAGTACAATGATAGTGCCGGCAACAAGGCCCCAGCTATACCTCAAAACGTGATAACAAAATGTACAAAAGATACATGACCCCGGAATGAGGTGAGTCTCACCAAGTCTTCTAGGAGGAAGGTGTACTACTATCACTGATCAACACTGCCTGCTATGGAACCACCTGTATTCATTTAAAGATACAGCGCCCCCGGCAAAAGGGACGTTAGTACTGTCGAATAGTACTAGTATGTAAAACTAAACACCATCTCAATAGAATGAATAATAATACAAGGGGGAAACATCATGAGTTGAATAAGAGCTTCAAACAATAATAAAATATCAAATAAGGATCACATAAGTTCTCAAGTCAATTTCCATGTTATTAAGTTGGGTGATCTTTAGATACGATATACCATAATTCACAATACCTTCGTATTCTTACACGGAGTCCGGTCTCGACCTGGTCAGCTAGGTCGTCTCATTTGAGACATAATCCATAACCACAATTTCATTATAACTTCCAACACAGTTACCACCATGTGTGCGGCATGGCGTCCAATCACGGCCCGATCGGCTAGGCCGTCTCACCCGAGACATTACCTTTTCAATTAATCATCTCACTTCATACTTCTTTCACATCTCTTCAATTCATTGGCACGAGTGGCCTCAATTAGAAAGTCATTCTTGGCACTTGGCCGTATTTCATAATTCCAGTTTCCCCTTTACACATTCAAACATCAATATCATTATCGACAACAATAAGGTTTCCCATTCAAGATATTAAATTCACACATGAGCAATTTGGGAATCTTAGGCACATAGAGGCTATTCATACAATTTGGCATAACAACCTTTATTCGATCTTGACTTGAAGTCTTAACATTTCTAATACATATTCCACATTTCGAACACATCCTCAAGATGACATGATGAAGCATTCAGATTAAATATTGAACATACATCCTTCAACACAACACATTAGGAATAGCCAATTCTATAATGATCAATTTGGGACTTACACCAATTACATGAACACCGTGAGATTCAATTCTAAGAAGAAAGGGGTTTAGCCAACATACCTCAATTGAGCTTCCTTAAACTTTAAAAATGTTCCGTAATTCTTAGCAACTTCAATCTATTTTAGAAATATAACAAGTTGAACCAAAATTAGGAAGATGGTCATGATTCTAGCTTATTTGAGCATATTATCAAGCACTAGGTGTGTATTAAGGTTTTTAAAGCTCTTTTGTGAAAGATTCCAACATTCCCCAACCCATTCTCTGCCATCATTAGCTCACAACCTTATTACACACTTTGGTAACACATGCATGCAAGATGAACAACTCCCATGCCCAAAATTTATCTTACTAGTTACCCAATTCTAGACAAAATTCGAAACTGATGGTTAGGGTGTAGAATCTTACCTTTAGGATGAAGTCCTAATGAGTTTTCCTTGTTAATCTTCAAAGATTCGAGCAAGAATTGAAGGACAATTTGTTGAGGATAACTCTCTCACTCTAGGGCACTCTCTCACTCTCAAAATGTCAGAAATGTGCTCAAAATGGGCTATGGCATATGTTTTAATGAAGAAGGGTCGGGTTTAAAAATCCCAAAAATGAAGCCTCGGGACAGGATATGCAGTCGCATATGCGACCGCATAATGGATATGCGGTCCACATATCGGCCGCACAAATTGGGTGTCAAAACTTGAAAGAAACGGACTGGGTCTGCGGTCACTATGCGGCCCGCAGACCTATTCTGCGGTAGCATAATGCACCACAGAACCTCCCTCTACAAAACTCCAAGGCTGGTTTGTACGACAAGAGTGCGGCCCGCAAAATGGTTGTGCGGTCACATAATGGGCCGCGAAAATGACATCAAAATGACCCAGAAAAATTGTCTCACTCTGCGGCCCGCAGAGTGATTATGCGGCCTCATAATGGGCCGCAGAAATGCCTATTTCTGCCAAATATTTTCCCTCAACTTCCCAGCGCACTGTTCAATCCAAAAGGCTTGAATCGCGGTGAGCAAGATCGTCGCGAAGAATTTCTACTATTATTAACCTCTACGCCTACCCCGGTATCGCGGAACCCCAGTTTTTAGGAAAAAGATTTTACGGGACCTTACAGCATGCCACAGAGAAAAATGCAGTTGAGATGGCAGCTTTTCGACTCTGAGATATAGCCGTCCTTTGGTATGAGGGATGGGAGAGGTCCAGGGGATGTGATGCACCTCCAGCTATTTAGGAGAATGTTTTAGATGCCTTCCTTGACTAGTACTTACCGCGGGTGATCCAACAGGCTCGAGTCGATAAGTTTTTAGCCCTCAAGCAGGGCAATATGAGCGTTTGAGAGTATAGTCTCTGTTTTGACTCATTGTCCAGATATGCTCCATCCATAGTTGCTACTATGCGGGACAGGATCCACAGGTTTATAGCAGGGTTGACCCCAGAGTTTACCAAGGCATGTGCCACCGCTGCATTGTAAGATAGTATGGAAAACTCCCGAATTCAGGCATTCGCGCAGAATATAGAAAAGGGTAGGTGTCGGCAGTAGGGTACAAAGAGGAGTGAGCAAGGGCAGCATAAGAGGCAGAGATTTGCAAGGTATCAGGAGCAATCTCAGGGTAGTTATAGGCCCCAGTACTTTGGACGACCACCTAGGCCTCCACCGCCTCAGTTACAAGGTTACAAGTTTGACTGATATGCTCAGTCAAGACCAGGTGAGAGCACGCAGATGTCGGATTTGCAGCGACAGCGAGGTTCAGGGCAGACATGGTCATTTCCACTGTGGTGTGACATCTGTGGAAGAGGACACTTGGGTCAATGCCGAGCAGGTTCTGACACTTGTTATATATGTGGGCGTCCGAGGCATATAATGCAAGATTGCCCAAGTAGAGATTCTGGGTCTATGGCAGAACCAACGAGTTCAACAGTAGGATCGTCTATGTTTGTGCGTCCTTCAGGGCACGATTCTCAGTCTTCGTCTAGTAGAGGTCGAGGCAGAGGTAGAGGTTCCAATTCAGGAGGTAATCAGAACTGTATCTATGCTTTAGCGGGTCGACATGACTAGGAGTCTTCACCAAATGTTGTGACAGGTATATATTGATCATTTTCTCTCACGATGCTTATGCCTTGATTGATCCAGGATCTACTTTATCGTATATTACCTAATTTTCCGTGGGGAAGTTTCGTATAGTGCCTGAAATACTAAGTGATCCATTTGCGATATCTACACCGGTCGGAGAACCGATTACTGCTAGATGGGTTTACTGAGGTTGTATGGTGATAGTTTGTAGTCGTCAGACCTCAAACGATCGAGTTGAGCTAGAGATGATGGATTTCGATGCCATCACTGGCATGGACTGGTTGTCATCTTGCTATGCCACAGTTGATTGCCGAGCAAAGGAAGCCAGATTTCATTTTCTAGGTGAGCCAGTCCTTGAATGGGTAGGTAATACAGCAACACCCAGAGGTAGGTTTATTTCCTATCTGAAGGCAAGGAAAATGATCGCAAAAGGATACATTTATCTGCGACTTAGAGATGTAGATGCTAAGATACCTACACTTCAGTATATTCCAGTAGTCAGAGAGTACATAGATGTGTTTCCAAATGATCTTCCAAGTATTCCTCCAGAGCGAGAGATTGATTTTAGCATCGATTTGCTTCCGAGAACTCAACCAATATCCATCCCTCTATATAGAATGACTCTTGCCGAACTGAAGGTGTGGAAGGAGCAGCTAAAGGATTTGCTGGAGAAAGATTTCATCAGACCCAGCACCTCACCTTGGGGTGCACCGGTACTGTTTGTGCGGAAGAAATATGGATCTCTAAGGATGTGTATTGATTATAGGCAACTGAACAATGTTACTATTAAGAATAGGGTGTGGGCCTTATGACCCACACATCCTCGGTTTGCTAATGATACTCCCAAAAATATTTTTTTGTTTTTGCACACAAAGGTAGTATAATTACAAATGTGAATACCTCATCATCTTTCGTATTGTATAAACCTTCATTAGTATTTTCAACCACTCACAACAACAATATTTCCTTGGCTCTTTTGGCCATTCACAAGATTCATTATTCATTGCAAGGTAGTCGTACTTCATATTCCACACTTCCTTTTCTTTACCTTCAAGGATCATCAAAATAAGCTTCAACATATAGAGTATTCCGGAAATCACAACTTTAAGTTATTAGCAGTGAAGACTTAAATACAATGAATTCCTTTCCAAGAAATTAAGTAAAATGGTTAGCAATCAAAGCACAAGTTAGAAGCATAAACGAGTAACACGTCATTTAATCTTGAAAAACTTTTTCCAAAAAGGGAAATACACAATTTCAACTCATGAATATATATAAGAGCTAAATACAAATTGGAAACACTTACAAAAACATAGCATTAGTTAAAACAGCCACGTTTGGGTACAAGTATAACTCTCATTATTGGCATGGTGGCCACACTATCCATCTGCAACCCCCTTCTTTCACTTTCAATCATCCTTATAGATTATCAACAACAAGGCATTTTAATTTAAGATTTAGATACACATTTGATCAACTAACCAAATTAAGGGTCTTAGACATATATGATTTCTTACACAATTCGACATGCTAGTTTTCATTAAAATCACGCTTCAAATCATGACATATTCACATACAGCCCATGTTTAATCACTTTCTCAAACAGTAACTCAAGAAAGAAGAACATTTGGAATACAATTCGATCACATATATCTTTTGACACAAGGCTTGTTTGGAATAATCAATTTATAATGAGGAACACGTGACTTACAAGGCCATTGTGGGGTTCAATTCTAAAAGAGGAGTTTAGCCAATATACCTTGTTTGAGCTTTCCTTAAGCTACTACAATGTCCCAACACTTCTAGCAATAACAATCTATAAGAAGGTAGCAAAAATCGGATAATAATTAGAAGGATTCACATGGGGTAACTCTCTTAGGAATTTTGTCGAACACCTAGTATGCAAAATCTCTTCCTCCCTTAACCAATTTCAACAAGAAACCACCCAAACTAGTTCATTAAACCCACACACTACAACTTATTGTCACATACATGTCCTATTTCCAACCCCCAATACCTAATTAAACCCATAACAATTGCATGAAGGTTTTAGGACAAGGTCTTAACCGGATAGATGATAATATAGTGATTGGTTTCCTTGATCCTTGAAGGTTGGTGCAAGATTGGATGATTAGAGTGTTAGGTTTCCTCCTTCTCTCTCTAAAATGCTCTTACCTCTCTCTAAAATCATCAGATAATTATCCCAAAATGAGCCTCAAAGGCTATTTATCAAAATGGGGTCGAGTTATAAAAATAGAAAAATGGACCCTATGAACTCAGGTCTGCGGTTGCAGAACTGACCGCAGAACAGATATACGGTCCGCATAATGGACCGCGAAAGTGATGCCAAAAAGCTGGGATGATCTGGACAGGTCTGTGACCGGTCTGCGGTGCGCAGACCACTTATGCGGAAGCAGAATGGGCCACAGAATAATCGCCCAATGAAATTTTCTCATGCAACTCTGCGACAGAAGTGCGCACCGCGAAATAGGTTTGCGATCGCACAATGGACCGCGAAACAACCCTCAAAATTCAATAACTCCCTGCTCAACTCTGCGACGCTTATAAGTCCCACAGAATGGATCTGCGGCCGCGAATCTGACCGCATAATTGGCCCTTCAGCAAAAATATTTCCACCAACACCTCGATGCATCCTTCAACCCAAAAAGTCTACTCCGACACCACGAACTTTAAATTCCTTGGCAAAATTTTCAGTGCCTTACATCCTCCCCCCACTTAGGATCATTCGTCCTCGAATGAGGAGTAGAGTCCGCCCCACTACACCCAACATAATTCATCCCCTCCTTTCACACATCGCAATCCCCCAAATTTGACTAAATCCCAAATTTTCCAAATATTTTGGCAGAGTCTCCTCTGTAATTGGGCCTATCCACCTGCCAGAGAATCACCAAAACCACCCTAACAACATATCCATAACTCAACAAAGCATTGCAGTATATATATCAACAACACTGATCTCAACATTAGGACATTACATTAACAGAAGTGGTATCTTGACATGAACTGTACACATTTAAACCATAACACGTATAAAGTACCCTTTAAACCACAACTATTTGGCTCTACAAACTAGTGAGAATATTCCCTTTCTACAGCACTCTCGGCTATCGAGGCAACCTCCTCGACTCACAAACTTAGCCATAGCACTTGACGGAGGCAATCTCAATTTTCGGACTTATGTAGCAAGGATGATAATTAGGTACCTCTCATAAGCCAATTACCCATTAACTTCACCTTCCATAGCTTCCCCAGGAATGATAGACAAACGACTCCCAACTACCCTTTCGGGCGTAGACACATGAAACACATGGTACATGGAGGACAATGATGGGAGACACACCATACTCATAGCTTGGCCCATTTATTTTCTTCAAGATTCCATAACGCCCAAATGTAAACTACACCTATCTTACCTTTATTAACAATTCACATAGTATCTTTATGGAGAAAATCTTGAGAATAACCTGTTTACTTTCTTCAATCTAAATCTCTATGCCGAACACTCAAACTAAACCCTTGGCGACTTTCAACCATTATTCTACGATGTGCTAGAATGAATATGACCATAGAGTTCCGACCCAATATGTTCGATCATGGAATGATGCTTCTTTTTTGACATATTTGAACCTACAACTCTCGATAGATTTACCACAAATAGGAACAACGAGGTTCGATATTGGGCTGGAATTGTTCAAGAATCTATCATTGTACTGAGAAAGGCATTTTAAGAGGTTATATTCTAAGAGACATGAGGGTGACCACCAATAGTGCTGCCATGGTTAATCATTATGATGGAATCATCGGTTCAACAAATGAGGCATAGAGTTACCAGTACAGATTAATAATGTGGGAACTATGTACATGATCCTAAGATGTAAAATAGTGAGTCATTTTAGACATGGGATGTGTGGGAGGCATGATCGGGAGGATAAAACTGTAGCATCAGTTATTTTGTGAAGATGATAAGTCACGAAAGTGATAGTAACAATTGTTTCACTCCATATGTGCCTTGTTCAGCAATTGTAAGCCTTAAAGAGGAATAGTAAAGTACATGACACCAGTTTCCTCCTTAAGTGTAGGGAAGATTAGTTTAATTCAAAATGAGAAGATTCTTGCACCATGAATATGATAGAGATTTCAAAAATACATGAAGTTGCGTTATGCCCTCAACATTAACTAACACAAGGAATCTCTGCCACAAGCCCATGAGGTTGAAAAAGAAGTTGAACACCTGTAAGATTATTATCATTCTGACAGCTTAACCCTTTCCAATAGTTGATCCTATATGAGAGGACTAGAGATACGACAAACTTATCTTTCAAATCAATATGCCCATGATATATGCCAAAATCTAGAAGCATCTAATTTCAACCTTTCACGAGTAAAACCACATAGCTAGGACACCTTAATATTCAGATAAAATCATGTGTTGGTTTGAGAGAATGAACACTTCGCTATGAGCTAGACATGGTTTTTTCCATAATAACTCTCAAACTGCAATACCAGGCCACTTAATGGGAAACTACAATACAGGAACAAAGTGAGTTACTCACTGAGGCATGATTTAGGTGGACATGAACGTCATACTGAGATGGGCGAACAATAGATATTCCTATGGCAAATTTGTGAGAAATCCCAAATTTTTGAGAAACTTTATGCGGATGATTGACCATTTCAATTGACATGTACACATATGATGGGTGCTGAGATATGCTCTTACGTTATTAGACAGTGGAAAGGATTTATGATAATGCTCACAAAGGGGAGTAGAGTGACTATTCAAACCATATGAGTCACGTGCACAGGAGAAAGAGACTGGCTCAAGAAAGATCTCGGCACTAGGCTGCCTTACATTAGATTCGATACCCTGTGGATAAATATTATAGTAGTTCATGCACAAGTACAAGTGAGTAGGTGTTATCTATTTGAATCAGAAGGTTCTGTAAGAGATTCATCATGTATAGTCCCTTATTGAGCATTTAGGGAAGCAAGTGGGAAGTATTTACCTAGGGTTATAACTCGCTCATAGAGTTGTTCCGATTCTATGGCAATTTCCATATCAACATAAGGAATGACATATGACAAAGTGGAACCGGGATCAATAAGGAAATATACATCATGAGATTGGACAGTTGATATACCTATAACCATATCTAGAGAAGCCTCCGACCTTTGACGCCTCCTCATAGCATAAAACTTGTTGGGCCCTCCCGACCTCTCGATACCACTCCTAGTTTCTCCACACACTACGAGCGCTATGGTGACTCGAGCTGGGGGAGGCGATATCGATGTAGTAACTGTATAACTAGATGGTTGTGTCGCACCCCCGCCCATGCTCTGGCGAGACGAACGACAATCTCTCTTAACATGACCCCTCATACCACACTTGTAGAATACATTGGTGCCATAGTGACATACCCCTGAATGACATCTCCTACAATTCACACAACGAGGATGAGGTTCGCTAAACTGACTCGCCACACTAACCTGATATTCACCCTTTTTGGATACATCATAAACATCCCCCTTATCCTTCATCCAGGCCTCCAATGCAGGAGTAACAAACCCCGTACTGGTTTGTTGTGTGGGCCTTTGGAATTTTCCAAACCTGCCACCCCTAACATGCTGCTGAGCATACTCACAACACGACGCCAAATGTTCATTACCACACATCGGGCAAACTGGGATAGGTGTACCCAACCTAGGGCATTTGTTCTTCTTTTGCCCCCTCTTTCCATA